GTGAACAAAGAGGCCCTCAAAGTGGTTGGCTGTGCGTGGATAGTGTATTGACGTATGTTCGCCGGTGCTCCAGACCTTGTCTGTTCAGGTGCTCTGCAATTTATTTCCATGCATTCTATCACGTCAGTGTGTGACTGGAATGGTCAGTCACAATGAGGCTATTTACTATATAGGCTGTACTGTCGGAGGTCATCTTCTTTTCGCTATTTTGGTGACTAAAAACATGTTCGATCAGGATAAACCGAAACTTGAACGTGCCGTTACAGTGAGGACAGGTTGGAAGGGCATACTCGAAGGTGGTGATACGTTGATCTGCGGCGGCCGGGTCGGTCAAGTCGATAGCGCGGCGAATTGTAAGTTGTTCGTATCCTGAATGGGCTTCGACGGTGAAGACATAGTGAGAGGAGCGGACGGCACAGGTCCGTGCTACCAGTGATGTATTTGCAGTTCTGCCTTTTAATCTTACTTTCGGTGGGCTTCGAGAGCCGTTGCTTGGTTAATCTGAGGGCGCTCGGGGATGATCTTAAATATGGCATTGTTTGGGAGTACGCTTTACGAAATCGTATCACAGCAGTCGCTTAGACATATGTACATCAGTTATTTTAGAATTTTGTATAGTCCGTCGTGGTTAGATGGACTTGGAAGTGGCATGCGGCTCCGGGACTTGGGATTTCGGATTCTGTCTCTGCCACCGTCTCTTTGATATAACTTCATGATGGTCTACATTGAAGAGTTTTAATTTTCTAGCCTAGTTTTAGTGGCATCTCCAGGTCTCGTCGCCACAGAGTAGCGATGTTAGGCTTACGGTGTGTTTTGAGGTTTTTGATGTTTGGATTATTGCTGTAGATGCCGGTGTTGGATGAGAAATAATATCTGAAGATGCCTATAATATAGCTAGACTTCAAGCACACGACACACAGTATTTCGGCAAAGCTTTTAGCAGCCGACGGCCGTCTGCGATCGTCAATCCCTGTGATGGATGATAGTGGAGTTACTTGATGTATCAGCAAACATTAATGCCATCAATGCGTGAGTTCTGGTTCATAAAAAGCCTGTCCCAACCATTCGATGTCTGCTCTGGTGTCAGAAAGCGGTTGTATCCTGTCGTCAATCCTTTTCAACTACAACAGGGAACTACACACAGTCGATAATGTCGAGAGTGCACTTGGGCACTGGCAAATTGATCTAAACTACGCTAACGATATACTCTTGTTAGTTGACCGATAAACGCTGGAAAGAACAGGGGGGTTCTGAGATGCATCCCTGACCGGGAGGAGGCATGAGTCAAATTGAAGAGGTAGAACGCTTAAAACATTTCTGGACGAGGCTGCTGCCTGATGGATTAAGTAAAGACGACATTGTTAACGAGTTCTTGCTGAGAATGGAAAGTAATCTGAATAATGAAAACCCATTATTTACCATCAAAAGCCAAGCAAAGGCGGTCGCTGCAATCGTCGAAAATGTCAACTTTTGGCGGCAATTAATTTCTGCAGATAGCTGGGGACTGGTGGGATGAGAAGGCAGCTCTGTTTCGTTAGCTTTGTCGCCGAGACAGCGTGTGTCGTCATCAGGCGACCCAATCATCAATACGAACCGTTCGGAATATCTACGCCATTCTAATATTTTCCAGAGAACGCTTCTGGACGCGGCGTCGGAGGCCTTAGTTGCATCCACAAGCGTAGTGTAGAGTCTGACATTTTCTCCGTGTCTTCCGTGCTGCGTCGGTTGGGTCAGTGATTTCAAACCTTTTTTTCCTCGGAATTCGCATACGTTCTCGTAAAGCAGTCCTTGCACTAACTTCGCTCGACTGGTCTGTCGTACTCAGGCAAGAATTTTCGGGAGAGAGATGCTTTAGCATGTCTCAGTCTTTGCGGTATCAAGAGGTTTATTTTTCCTTTGCAAATAATGCTGCACTCCGTGACTGAGTGTTTGATGGGAGGGCGCTCGATGCTCGCGGAACCCTGTCAAGAAACATGCTTTGTGAGAATGAAGACAGTTGAGTCTATACCGCCTTTAATGTTGTTCACCGTGTAATAGGCCCAGTCAGCGAGCGGTTCAATGACACCTCAGACGATTGTGACTTCTAGGCCAGGGCAGGATATTGGGTATGGAATTTCAAACCCACAAAACGTATGGTGTAAGATGGTAGATCAGGCCGGTTAATTTGGCTACGGAATCGACGTTTTCGTGACATATGCGGCTTTACACGCGCTACTAGTGCCTTGAACCCTGATATCTTACTCTTAACAGTGTCTTTGTTTTCGTAG